TAGTCATCTTGGCACTACGCTATCGTTAATACACAATCTTCATCCCGCTTGTGTGCGTTCTTCGCACTGTCCACCCGATCAGACAGTTGAACCCTGTTTAGATTTGAGATACTTAGTCGGATGGATGGATGGATGGATAGATAGGATAGAATAGGATAAATATATGCCATGATGTCGTCATTTGCAAGGCGGGGTTAGGTAACCGGTTTGCTTGTTTAGTACCAAGATAATCATACTAGGGTACTGGTAGGAGGGTAGGCTACTGTGGGTTCCTTCTGTGTATGGACTCTGGACTAGAAAAAGGGAACTTGAAATCCGAGGAATAGAATTGGAGAGGATTCCCTTGCCACTACCGGCTAAAGTGAAACGGTCGATCAGGGGATTGACGCTGTTTAGTCACTTGCTAACTACTAATTAGCGAATGGAGCCTTGTTTACGAGGAACTACGGAAAAAGGGTTGGCCTGATTGTGTGATGGATCGCTGTTTCGGGCGAGGCTGGGGATTATAGGCTGGAGGATGGAAACATGGGAAAGGAAGGAGAAAAGATAGTCAGTCACCTGTCCGTCCCACTGATCATAGTGGATGGTATGCTCTTGTTATCGAGGAATAACATCACATGGTGGACAGAGTTTTCCTTTTCCGTAGCACGCCTGGACCGTTTGAGTATTATACTTTCGTCGATGTCAATCCATCATCTACAAATGGATATGATACGATATGATATAGTATACTATAAACAAGCATAGGATATTAAACCCCCCATCAATAGGCGACTTCCGTCTGTCTGACTCTTCCTCTTCCGCTTCTCTTCCAGCTCGAGCGGCTGAGTCCGAGTCTGACCCTACTCTCGAGAACTATCCCCTGAGTCCCGCGTCCCCTGTGGAGAGCCAGGCGCGTGTGTTGTGTGTGTGTGTGGGCCTCAGCCAAGTCTAGAACAGAAAGGCGGGCGCATAACTTGGAAAAAAACGACCAGGAGAAAAGAAACCGGTGTTCTACTAGTGCACGATAGTCCGATAATAGCCCGGGTATCGTCGGTCATGAGGTTAATGTGATTGATTCATTTCTTGAGAAGGTATCCACTTTTGGGGGAGCGTACATGCTAAATCATGACCTGTATGGAGTCAAGTGGACTGCACTACGGAGGACTCGACTCGACGTCTGTGGTGGATCTGGTTAGTACTTACGGGCTACGGGCTAGAGTTACAGTGGTTAGGAGGAGGGAGTGGGATGGAGTATGATGGCGAGCACACCCTCATGGCAGCGTTGCGTTGCCAAGAGAATAGTTAGATGGGATTTGGCGTTGGCTTGGATTTCCTCCCCGGAGGCGCTACGCGGCGTGGTTACGCACAGATCACTCACTCACTCACCCACTCATTCGTTTAAACCCTGAGGTCAAGTTCAAGCCGAAGATTCTAATCCTATCCTGGCCTGTTGCACGGAAGGGCGCCAAAGCCTTGCCAAGGACGGAGAAATTGTGGATCTTGCTTTCTTGCCTTCTTTGTTGATGTTGCTCCGGTGGTTTCGGATTGAATTGCCTAGTGTAAGTATTTAGGGCGCTGCGGGCGCGCGCCTAAGTGTTTTTCGCTAGTGGTGGTGGTGGTAGTGCATTGTACATAACATGCAACTGTAGGCGATGATAGTTGACATGTTGGATGTTGGTGGATGAACGTGGCCTGGCGGTTGGCTTGTCTTGGACTATGACACGTGGGTCTGCTTGCCGTTGTGACTGTCTTCGTCTCTGGATACTGAGTACTGGGGAGTAGAGTTTGTAACTCGTGGTCCAATGGCTAATAGCTGGTTGGGCACCACTGTCATGGTATTCCGTGATATATGGAGACCATATGTGATGGAAAATGGAAACCATATCAATTCTAATAGCGTGAAACGTCACCCGATCCCTGACCCGTGGGACAAGCGACAACCCGACCGAAAGTCAGACAGTGACACAATTCCCGAATATTCCAGGAAGTGGGCAGTTATCATATCAGGGCCGTCGGGTGGAGATGGCGAGATAGACGGAGATAGATAATGAAAGGCCCCGGGATAGGACGTGCCCGACGATCGATCGCTCAATCGATTTCTCGGTGTGGACTGGACTGTGGATGTGGATGTGGATTGTGGACACTTGGGCGTGCATGGACTGGACTCGATCATGTTGTGTGACTTGAAGATTTTTCTTTCTTTCTTTCTTTCTTTCTTTTATTTATATTATATTTGATTTATCTCGGTGAGATTGAATCGGTTCGGGAAGAACAGGGTGGTACTGGGAGGGGCTGTTTCTTCGCCGACCGGTGGAGTGGCAAGTGAGACGATGATACAATATTATATGTGCTATACTACGTAGACTATATTATACTATCATCTCGGCCGGAATTGATCTGATCAGATTGTGTGATTCGGAAATTCCAAATGGCCCCCCGAATCCTTTGTCGGGTAGAGAAGCTTCCATTTCGGTTCTAGAATTTCCTGGGCGCTTATTTTGCCTGCTTATGTCTGGGATGTTCATGTTAACTCGGGTTGATCAGGGAGCGGCGCGGGCTGGTTATTTTTGGGGCTGGAAATCTTGCGGCTGGATTCACTATTTGTTCGATATTTGTCATTTGGGCGCGTGGGTTTACGCCACTATGCCAAGTACCTAGAGTGGAAGAGTGAGCTCCTCTCTTTTGTCAAGGACAGTCTACGGAGTACTGTGATGCTCGATAGAGAAAGTCATGTTATGCTTAGTATTTGGGATCTACAGAGTTTCAGGAACCGGAACCAGAACCAGACTCAACCCAACCTCAAACATGGAAAGGAAGTCTGAGCTATGACGTTAATCAACTTTGCCGCCTGCATCACCCATCCCAGCAATCATAATGAAAAATCTATCGACCGGGGGGGAGAAAAGCAAGTGGAGATCTTGTACGCCTCCCTCGAGTCTTCGCCTGTCGTGTTACGTGCTTTTCCCCCAGGATTTTCTCGGCGAGGGAGGACAGCAGGAGGACCGACAGGAGGACCGACAGGGAGAAGATGCCAATATATGGCTCATTCCGGACGGTTGGGTTGCACAAGGATCGGAGTAGGAGCTGTATTCATGACATGGTACGGAGGATGCCGATAGCATCTATCATTATTAAGGAATTCAGCCACGTAGTCAATTATGATTATATCATTCTCAGGAGTATCATTATCATAATTATTATTATTATCGGCTTACTAAGGTGGACGGAACTCCCGACACGACCAAGAATGAATCATTCTTTGAAAATTCTTCCCGCCTTCCTTGACATTCTGGAATCCCACTTTATTTGATTATCATTATTATTATTATTACCATTATTATTAATATGAATATTAATATTTTTTTCTGACAAATCATCCGAAAACAGGTTGATGATGAATCTCTACGATCCTGATCATGATCAGGATATGATATGATATGATATCCACCGACTACTGCAGCCCTTGCAGATAAAAATGGGGAATCGTATGTGGAAGAAGAAAAGAGTGTCGACAGGGGGGGGGGGGGGGGAACCACGCCATCCATCGTAATTTGTTACGTATGATGCACCTCGTATTTTATCATTATTCTCCTGATTATTATGATTTATTCTCCTTATCAGTATGATTTCTTTGTTCTCCTGCATACCCAGGAGGATGGTTCTCGTATTTCTTCACTATTTATTATCAATCAATTATATCAATCAAATAATAAAAGAGAATGATATCTCCTTACTCGGACATGCTACTTCTCTGCCTACGGAGTGGATCTTGCACAGCCTTGACCTCTCTTGGCATCCTTGCAGATCCAGCCTGGTCTCCACTGACAACGCCTGCCTCTCTTTCCAACCTACCTATGAGACCCGTCGCATTCTTCCTGTGCTTGGGATTGGACCTGATCCACTTGTCCTAGGACCTACTAGGTAACCTCCCTGGTTGCCCAAGGAAAAAAAAAAAAAAAAAAAAAAAAGAAAGGATAAAAGAAAAGCAAACACTTCTTCTGGGGAAATGCACGGTTAGGCGCACACACCAAAGTTAGACAAAGAAACCGTCTGGTTACTGTTTACTATTAGCGTAGAATCGTTCGGCCGGTTCATCCTTTTCTTATTGATCATCCGATTCTTGCTTCGATCTGTCTGGACGTGGGAGTGGGAGTGGCCACTGGAGCTTGGACAAGCAGTTGCCCAACCTTGACCTTGCCACTCTGGCGGATCATCATGATTATTCATTCTTGATGATATAATTTATCTCATGATGTATTATGCAAAGAAGACGGAAAGAATCGAAGAAAGAATCAGAGAAAGAAAGATCAGGTGGTCATTGACGTAGGATGGTTGTTCTATCCTAGACGATGTCTTATATGACACATATAATTCTCGATTGATGTTGCAGATGAGGATTCACTGCGGGATTTATCCTTCTCCTTACTTGGATTTGTTATTCTGTAAATACCTTCTCTTATCGAGATATTATCTTGTATCTTTTAACACGATCGACCGGGAAGTCTCATTCCCGTGGTCTGTCTGAGTGTCTGGTTCAAGAGTCTTTCCCCTCTGGGTTGTTCCTGTCTCCACTTGCTTCATTTCTTCCTCTCATCCACTGCTCCTCCATCCAATTGACTCTTCCAGTCCATCATTCCTTCTCCACTCCTTCTATCCAATCCACCCCCCATTCCTTCTAGCCCAGTCTCCACCCTCAGATCCACTCCTTCCTTTCAATCCCTCTTCTGCTCGACGCTTCCGTGCAGGTTTTGGAACCTCCCAGGGCCTGATCAACATCGCATCCTCTCCCCCCCCCTCCATCCCTCCCCACCCTCCCAGACTCCCTCGTTGGTTGCTAAGATTACTTGAGAAGCGCCCCGTTCTCTGCTCTTCATTTCCCTGGCGTCATCTTGCTCGTCCTTCCCATCGTGGATTATTATTAGTATTCCTCATTCCCACTCGCCCCCTCTGCTCCGCTCCATCCTTTCTCTGCCTGACTCGTCTAGAAGTTTGATTTTCTTTTTTATCTTATTTTATTCTATTCTTCATTTCTATTATTATTATTATTATTATCTTTTCAATTTACCTTTATTATTCCTCCTCCTTCTGGTTGACTCCCTTTTCTTAAACCCCTTCAGGCCACACTGACCATCTCGTTCCTCTTTTTGTCCGACCAGATCTCTTCATTCTTTGAGATCCTCCTATCCCTCTAGATTCACAATATCAACACAACTTCTGCAAAACTTATACAACTTACGTCTATACCGACCATTTCCCTCGTTACGCCTCCCATCCTTTATCTCACGGCTTCCCGCAGCCAAACCCGGTCGGAGCGGGGTTTCAAAACACCACTCCCAACTTCAGGATATTCCGCCCCATCATCGCTCGGAACTCGTTTCCTAACCTCCGCACTCAGCGGAGGCCTATCTCAACTCAACCCTTCCCCCCCTCGCAGTGTCTCGGCGTCCGGGACCATCTGGGGTGCAACGGTGTCCCTCTCGCCGTCGAAACAACCGGCGCACCCTCTACGCAATGCTCAAAAAGAAGACCTTACACCCGCCGTTACTCTTCCGGAATCACACCCCAACCTCCACCCCCGAACTATCCCCCACCACCTCTTCGGATAGCGACTCGGACGGGGATATGGACCCCGCCCACTCGCGGCCGCTGAGCCTCGCGGTCGCTCCGGGCGTCTTCGGTCCCATGCGACCGACGTTGGCGGAGGTCCTCGCAAACACCGCCCCTGCCCCCTACACCCTCAGTGCCTTTATGGCCTACCTCTCCCAAAACCACTGCCTCGAGACCCTCGAATTCACCTTGGAGGCCAAGCGGTACCGGGAAGCCTATGCCGAACTCTCCCACCCGCTCACCCCTTCCCCCATCTCCGCCGATTCACCTCAATGCCAGCGGGTGCGTATGCTCTGGCAGCGCCTGCTGACCGCCTACATTATCCCGGGTGCGCCCCGCGAGATCAACGTGTCGAGTGAGGTCCGCGAGCACATCCTCCGACACGCCCATCTCCCGTTCCCACCCGCCCCCGACGTCTTGGACACGGCCACCCGACTCGTTCACGACCTGATGGAGGAGTCCATCTTCCTACCCTTCCTCAATGCGCACGCCACCTCGACCCCGTTGCTCTCCCCACGGGAGCCGTGCTGTACCGTCGAGGAGCGCGTGTCGGTGGTCTCGGGATCCGGGTTCGACGAGCACGCGGTCCGACGCGTCCGGTCCAAGTCCAAGGCCCGCCGCCTCTCCCCCCAGTCCTCTCGGGACCTGGGCGCCCACTTCGCCCAGAGCTTCCCCGCCGGCAGCGGCGGCCGGTCCAACTTCTCGCTCAGCGCCATGACGGCCATGAGCAAGACGACGCACCGCACGTCGGGGCCCGTCTCCAGCGCCAGCGGCGACTCCGTCTCGGCCACGTTGACCGACGACTCGGGCAGCTTCGGGTCCCACACGAGTGTGGGCGAGCCCATGACGCCGCCCACGACGCCGCCGTCCAGCGAGCCTAACATGCAGCTGATGCACAGTCCCAAGAACCGCACGGAAAACCCGTGGAAGAAGATGGGAATGAAGTTGGGCTTCAAGAAGCGGTCGGGCAATGGCAGCTCGGGCAGTATGAAAATGGCGGGTCTGGAGGAATGACCCCGCCTATCGACTGGATGATCTTCACTCAACCTATGCATTATGAACCATCCACTTCAAACAGTGGATGTACTTATTGATTGTCTCTTTGTTGTTTTCTTTGGGATGCATTTTTGGGCGTTCTTGCAATGATTGAATGAGCGAGCCAGCAAGCGAGCATTTGATTCCTTGTCCATACCCAGATAGATTGGGTGGCTAGGTCGCATGGCGTTGTTACTTTTTTTTTTTTTTTCCTTTTTTTCTTTTTGGTTTATCATGGACCATTGATTGATACGACCGGTAGACACAGACTCTGGTCTACTCCTACTTTACTTTCCGCTCATGAGTGATGGTGATGGATAGATGGATTGTTTATTTTTTCTATTGCTTTTGATATGAGTGATTGTTGATTGCATCTGGATCGCTTACATTGGTTATTCCCTATTACCCTTCTGCACCCTTTTTTGGTGTTGGCATATACTTGAACAATAGATACCCTGATATGGTTATATCACATTATTTCATTCATGATTTGCAATCTGTAATGATGTATCTACATGGTACTGGAGTGGATATCTATCCCGTTATTGCCCAGTTGACACCGTGAGAACTATAAGTAAACATTCATAATGACAATAAGCTGATTACTAGATATTGGCATGGACCTCTACCTTATCTGTACATGATATGATCCAATAGATACGATGATGAATATCTATACACACTGATCCAGGTACTTAGGGCAATGACATCAACGTCTATACATACATACATACATACATACATATTAACCCAGTTATGACTTGACTTGACTTGACTTGACTTGACCTGATTTACTACAGTTACAACTAGCCAGCTAGATATACATCTCACCCCAATGTCAAACTTGTCTCCCCTCATCATCTCTCCCCTCCGCCACAACTCAGCCACAATAACCCACAACTCACCCCAACTAACACACAACTAACCCTAAGAAGTAGGAGTAGAGGGAAGAGATCGGGGAAATGAAACCCGCCGACCGGATTGAGTTTCTAGCGCCGCGACGTCCAGATCCCATCCTGCGGCTGCTAACGCTGATAGGTAGTTCTCGAAGCGGGATGCTGTGTTTAGGAAGTGCAGGGTGTGGAGTAGTGTGTTGAGGGTTGTTGCTGTTTCTGGGTCTGGGGCTGTTTCTTTTGTGTTGTTGTTGGTGGTGGTGGTGGGGTTGGGGTGGGACGGTTTGGAGGTGGAGGTGGAGGTAGATGTAGAAGGGAAAGGGTAAGGAGAGGTAGAAAGTAACCGTGCACAAAGAAGAGCATGCATCCATGCTTTGAGCTGGTCTTTGGTGGTGCTTGTTGGTTGGAGGAGGATGGTAGCGTGCCAGGTGGATTTGGATTTCGTGCTGCGGCTCAAGAAGAGAAGGTAGGGTTCGTGCGTGAAGAGTTTCGTGAGCTGTGGGAGGGGAAGGGGTGTTTTGAGCGAGGTGGTGCCTGTGCTCTTTGTTGCTACACTGTAGCTGTGTTCAGAATGGGAAGTGATGAATTGGTGGAGTGATAGGCCGATTTGGCACGTTCCGACGGTTGAGACCGTTTGGGCTGTGGTCCATTTGAGGATACTGCCCCGTGAGAAGATCCGTTCTTGCTTGGCGGCTTGCGCGGGTGTGCAGATGTGCCAATGCGGGGGGTGGTTTGCTGGGGTTGTGTCTGCAGTTGTGTCTGGAGCTGCAGAATGGGGTTGACCGAAGTCGGAGTTAAGCAAGGTGGAGAACACAATGTTTGCTCGCTGTCTATTCAGACTCGTCATTTGGACGGCGCGTACGGCGGCGTAGTTCATGCCCAGGTGCACCGTCAGGAGCGTGATCAGGGAGATCCATGTTGCGGTGTAGCTGGTGATATGCGATACCACAAGGGACCCGACCTGCGTTTGCATTAGTGTCAGCTATCTAACTGATTAGATGGAATGGAGCATCGTACGAGCATTCCAATCAGTGAGATGACAGTCTCTTGAGACGAGTCTTTCTAGATGGTGTTAGTCTGGGATTGTTTACCCTGAGGAAGACACATACGGCATTGACCTCGGCGAGATTCCCCCATTTTGCAAAATGCGCACTCAAACTGGCTTTTGAGCTCCCCCCGGATACTCCGCAGAGAGCGCGCAGCACCCCCGCCGTACTGAGCACACCTACACGGCAACTGCCAGAAGGGATCATCGGCGACAGACAGTCCAGGATCATAGCGAAGTCGTTGAACACGTCGGCCGCCAGCCGGTACATCTTGCATTCTGGCTCCAGCGCGGTGCCCACGCGGTGCGCGAAGAGAATCGTGGCGATCCGGCCGGAGGTGTCTTGCAGGATGTGGAGGAGTAAGGCCGACGTGGGCGATGCGCTGGCATTGCCGACTCCGACGCCTGTTGCTTGTGAGCATACTTCGCGAAGGATCCTTCGCAGGATGGATGATGGTTATTGTTCGGGTAGCTACCTTGTAACACTGCTCTTGAAGACAGGAGGCCGGCTATTGAGCTGCAAAATGCTTGGAGAGAGTCCTTCGATAGCTATTAGCTATGCAACCAAGCGCAGAGCATGCGACGGCGCGAGGTGCCTTGGTAGCTGATCTATGACAGAACTAACAAATAGTTGATATCTACAAGGCATTAGTTCCCACTAGACAATGCAGATGCGACCAACTCACGGAACATAGTCCTCACTAACACTATGCGGGTACCCAGCAGGCAGAAAAACCTCAACGAGGAGGTTCCGGAGTGCAGCGATTGACCATGACAAAGAGGTTGAGTAGGGAGGATGCTGTTGCAATATTAATGATTGCCTTTATCTGAATAATGTAGAGCGACATCGACTATAGTATAGGAAAGACAGAAACAGCTGGCCAGAGGAACTCATGCACCCCTGTAGACACTAGCCAGATAATAGATTGATCTACCTACCAGTACATCAATCCGTCCTGTTGTCGATCGTCCATTGTTTGATTTGGAATAGATGTATGTGGCTGTTGGATGGCCAACCTCGTCGACTTCGGTGAAGGTCAGGGGGTCATCTTGTTTGGGAGCCATGTCGGTTGGATCGCCCAATTGGATTGACTGGTTGATTGTGATGTAGTCAAGAAGATACCTAGAGGTACCTGATCGAACCAAGTGGGTTGGGTGGGGAGAGGTCGATGGACTGGCTGCGTGGCCACTCGACTTTCAACTGGCTAGTTGGATGCAGAGCACGTGTGCCGCGATCGACACCTGTTCCAGGTTCTAACCTTGAACTTCCATGCTGCTCCCCCGGGTTACATCACACCCCAATTATAGCCATGATTGGCTGATTCCTTCTTAAGCCCAGAAGAGATTATTTATAGTAAATATTATTCATTCCGATGACTATGCCCGTTGTGTCCTGTCTGATAGTAATACATCTGCAACAGACCGAACTTTTCCAAGCACCGCCGTCCAGTATGCTTTCCCAGAAGGAATGATCAGTACACGAATGCTTGTGATCGCAGCAACCCAGTGCCACCCATCTAATAACAAAACCCTCCAATGAAAAAAAGCGCGCCCCAAAAATCATGTAGAGTACCGCTTGACAAATCCAAGAACCACCAGCGCCAGAACTAAAGAAACGGCGAGAAAAGAAGTGAAGGAGAGGTGGGGACGATCAGACCGCGCCAGTTGGAACAAATCCAAACAGCGACTCATCGCCAGATGAGAAGCAGTGCGCCTGACCTACGTCCCGCAGGGGTGGCATTTCCACGTATCATGCCCGTGAAGACCATCTTCATTGCGTCATCGCTCATACGGCTCAATGCTGTAACGGCATTCAGGCGTAGAGGCTGGCGCCACCGGTCTCGACGGCCTCGATCTCGGCCTCGGTGAAGGGCAGACGGTGGAAGCGCGAGGGGAGCTCATCACGGTCGAAGAATTCGCCTTGCTTGGCTTGGACGGGGCCGAGGGAGGCGCCGGCGTTACGGCCGATGGCACCGGAAACGAACGAGGCACGGCCCAGAGGACCATGCTGCTGGGCCTTGACGCGGTAGGCGGCGAAGGAGTCGGGGAGAGAGCCCGAGGGGGAGGCGGGATGAGGGCGGGGAGTGTGATCCAGAGATTCTTTAGAAGAACGAGGTTAGAAATCAATCAATTACACACGAGAACGGTCTCTGGTAAACTCACTAGGGACGGAACGGCGACCGAGGAAGCGGATGAGAGGGGTGCGGGCAGCATTTCCGAGAGCCATGGTGGCACGCATTTTGAGTGATATTGTGTGGTTGTGGAGGATGAAAAATTTCCCCAAGATTTTGATTGAAACGAACGGGCGAGAAGGTGGACGATTGCTCAATTGAATGGCACGGTGAGATCCGCTCGGGTCCGACGCGACCGAGGAAGAGTTCGAGGTGGAGGGTAAAGATTGGATGGAGGTAGCGAAGAGAATAAGTTACAGTATATACAGTGGGGATAACCTGACGAAGAGATGAAAGAAGTGGAATTGGAAGAAAGAGACCGAGGGATGAGGGGGTTGTTAAAGGAAGGAGGGAGGAAGAGAAGAAAAAAAAAAGCAATGGAGGGTGGGAGAGGAAGAAGAAGGAGGAGGAGGAGAGGAAAAGGATTGATTAGTGTAGAGGAGCGGGAAGCGAGGCCGGGTTGGAAAGCCGGAGTGGGCGGGACTAGAGAAGCATTTGCATTATCTTAGCTACCGCCTTGCCTGGCAGTGGTTACTGTTACTGGTTACTGGTTAGGTAAACTGCTTCGGTTGATTTAGTCAGAGCATTCCTATTGAGATAACACTAGTTACTTTTGTTCGTGGTCTGATCCTGATCTGATGCCACATGCATCTTCATGCTCTTCCCCGGACCATTCAGACCGTCTTCCCCCCTGCGATCCTTTCCCATCCCGCATTCTCGGTGAAAGCGTTGTGGAATCTCGTGTCTGACAGGTTGATTGTGCTTTTTAAGCTTACTCTCTATCTTGTAGCGCTCCATCTCCCCGCACTTTGGTTCTTTTGAGCAGTAGTAGTTCGTGATCCCAGTTGGACCTTGTTTAGTTTCTTCTTTTTCTTCTTCTTTCTTTATGTACACGATCTATACAATTCAAAGTGCTGTTTCGAGTTCTTTTACTCTTCTTGTTCGTCAGTCGAGGATGAGGTGAAGTTCCAGGTTGATTGCATCTGTTCCCCCTCCTTCGGCATAAATCGCGAAGCTTGGGCCATTTCTCGCCTCCCGACTTTTCCCGGCCACACCAACTAACCAGTAACTTGCCCACTCACACTCACACTTTCTCCCACATCACACCATCTTATATCATTTTAAATTACCAAATCCAATCCTTGATTTTCTTCTATATTTTTTTTTTTTTTAACCTTTTTCATTCACATTAATAATCATTTATTTTTAGCGCCCCGCAACCATCACCCACTCCTGTTCCAACCGAAGTGAACTCGGGGCAGAAGAACGCTGGAGCTTCCCCCAATCGGCTGCCATTGATCTTCATCCCCGTGATCCGGGTAGTTTCGCGCCTTTCAAACATATTCAATCCGTCTTACTCTCGTCGGCCTCTTCCCCCCCCTTTCTTGTGATCATGCATGAGCTGTTACTCTTCGCCTCGGTCCCCGCCCACCAACATCATGAGCTCCTGCAACAGTTGGCAGGTCTCACGGCCATGCAACCCCGTCATCGCCTAGAACGACGTCTGATCTTCAAGGCCTACCGCAAACCGGGGCTGATCAACACCCGCGTGGGAGCCAGTCAGGATTTGCAGGGGAATGAGATGCAGCGTCTCAACAAGATGCTCAACGGTGGCATGTTCTACACCCAGGTGGTGGGCCCACTGGACGAGTCCGATTTTGGCCTCAACCCGTCGCCGTCCGCTGGAGATCCTGATGATGCCGCCATGTCCGGCACGGACGAAATTCCCACCAATCGTCCCGCCTATAGTTACGAAAATCAACCGTGGAAGTTGGAGTTTCGAGATATTCCCGAGGCCGGCACTCGATCTGCCGTGACGGCGCGGTTGATGGCTAGCTCCAGCCTTCCTAAAGGTGATATTTCCACCCCCATGACCGCCTGGGGATATAGGTGAGTCCCCCCCACCCTCCCCGCCCACCATCTTATTTGAAGGATGACATATCAGCGCATAGCATGATCGATTGCGTTGGCTGATCGCACGTAGTTTCGTCTCCGAGTACGTGGTGGAGGGGGACATCTTCGTCTTGAATGACATTGTCATCTTCCTGCATCGGGTCCTGCACTATCCGACTGAACCCCAGTCGCATGAACCGCGGCGAGAACTGCCCCCGCTCTCGGACATGACTCTGCTCGAACGTTCGGGCAGCTATGTCCTGCAGGCTTCGATCACCGTCCAGGACGGCGGGAACCAGGAGATGATGAAGACGGCGTCGCAGCACCTGTTCGGACTGCGGGAACAGTTGAAATACGCCGTCCGGCTCGAACAGGCGGATCGACTGTCGCTGGATACACGGGCGAAGTAGAGGCTTTCTTTGTTCTGGCTTTCTTTGCTTTGGTTTTCCTTGATTAATGCCGTATATACCCCGGGGCGATGCCTCAGTAGACTCAAGTATCCTTGGTAATGATTCCCAAGATAGAAATGAATTATTATCTACTCAGTATTATCTATCTATTCACTTTCAGTCCTTATATAAAAAAAAAACAATACAACTAAAGTCGTTCACAAACCGTCCTTCACCTGTTGTTGGCAATGCCACAGTAATAAAGAACATGTGACCTCGCGCACCCTCCCGCGCGTACCAGCGCGTCAACCGCTACCCAACCTCACATACATACCACCATACACCATATATCGCACTCCCTCATCAATCAAACGCTCAGTCCACCCTCAGCCCTTTAACTAGGGTCCGTCACGATATTCTCCCGCCATATCCTCAGAATGGCCGGTGCTGGCGCCACCAAAAGGCCGGGGTCTCCCGACCGTGCCATCTCCCCGCCGCCACTTAAGCGGAAGGTTGGGTCTACGATAACGAGTACGCCTCTTCTTTTTTCTTAGTAGATAAAAATCCAAATTGTTTGGTGTACCTATGTCTAACGGATGGGTTGGATAGAAAAAGCTGCGTCGTCGTTCTTTACGCCTACGTCGCAGAAGAAGCCCGAGAGGCTGGTTTGGCGGGTTGTGAGTAATAGTCTCGTTGTGGGGAGGTACTCGGCGGAACCAGATGGGGAGCGGAAACATGATGGGGCCAAGCCTAGGGTTGCTGCGTTTGATTTGGTGAGATTTGTTTTCTGGGGAGAGATTTTGTCAGGGAAGCACGGCTGATGAAGTTCATATAGGACTCCACGTTGGTATCTACAGCCTCTGGGAACACATTCCCTAGAAACTCATCCGACTGGAAATGGTGGCACGATACTGTCCCGTCTAAACTCCAGCAACTTAACAAAGATGGGTGCGTTCTTATCGCGTGCTGGTCTTAGACCATAGCTAATGACTGCCAGCTACCACGTCGTCATCATGTCCAACCAAAAGAAAGTCAGCATCCAGAAGGAGATCAAAGCAGGACGAAGCGATTCCAAGAGTCTCACGAATTTCAAAGAACGCGCTGCTGCTGTTATGGAAAAGCTGGATATTCCTATCAGTGTCTACGCCGCGACTGAAGATGATAGCTACCGCAAGCCGAGGACGGGCATGTGGAAGGAGTATCTGGATGATCAGGACTTTGATGTTGAGGGTGTTGATCTGAAGGGCTCGATTTATGTTGGAGATGCCGCTGGTCGGCCGAGGGATCATTCTCAGGTGGATCGGTATGTCTCCTCTCTCTCTCTCCTCTCTCACCGAACTCGATCCCCAAAGACAAACTTACCAATCTAGTGGTTTCGCCGTAAACGTCGGACTCCCCTTCCAAACCCCCGAAGAATTTTTCCTCAACGCAGCGCCAGAACCGCTCGTGGAACCCTTCGACCCCACAGTCTATTTGGAATCCGATCCCACAGACAACGGTAAGTACTGTGATAACGAGCAGGTGGTCTATGCGCAGTGATCTGGCCCGGTCCGTTTGCCCCTGGCGTCCACGACCGGGGCTAGACCAGACCCTGCAGCCCCAGCCAATGCTAACTCGGATCATTCTGCAGTCCCCGCCCCTTTCTCCCGGAATAGTCCCGTGGAGCTAGTGATCTTCTGCGGGAGTCCGGGGGCGGGCAAATCTACGTTTTACTGGAATTATTTGCAGCCGTTGGGTTATGAACGGGCCAACCAGGATCTTTTGAAGACGGTGAGTGTTTACACTCGTTTTGTACTGTTGGATCTGTTGCATACACACTACTTCCCAACAGCTTGCGGAATGGCCAGAGGTCAAATCTGTGTCTAGACTGGGAAACAAGACAGGCTCCCGCATAAACCGGGAACCAGCACGAGATGAGCAAAACATGCTAACGTCTGACTAGCGCCCAAAATGTATAAAAGTGGCGAAGGAATACCTTGCGGCCGGGAAATCTGTCGTCGTCGGTATGTGACCCTTGCATGATATAAAGTGGCTGGCTTTACACCATCCATCGGGACGACGTTCCAGCCCGTCCGACAGCCCCCCCCCCGTTGAAGATTCTTCGAACTCTGCCCCATCCCTGTAAAATTTGTCAAACGAAGAATGCCAGTGCTAATCTAGCAGACAACACAAACGCCGACCCCGAAACAAGGGCTCACTGGGTATCAGTGGCCAAAGAATCCGGCGTCCCCATCCGCTGTGTATATTTCACGGCATCGCAGGATCTATGCCGACATAACAACGCTGTGCGCGCGGCGAATCAAGACTTGGTGAGTTGTTTCCCGTCCATCCCGGTGTTGTACAGACAACTTGCGCGGCTGCATATCAGCATTCTACCCCTCCCTCTATCTACCTCCCCGCTATCTGCAGAAGCATAGACTTCTCTTCACCGCACTGTACCTATATACCTATGTACCCCTCCTCCTCACATCCTCTGACCCCATAATTTGTCATACCCACCACTCGCATACACATGCACATACACATACCCATACAACACATACAAACACGCAGATGCAAATGCAGAAATCTCAGCGGGCCACGCAGTCCCCCCTCCCTCCCCCTCATACCCAGTCCACAAATGAACCAAGACCAATGAAACAATAAAAATATACTAACAAAAATAAAAATTTTGAAAAAAAGAACCCCGAATCCCGCACCTTACTCCCCGGAATCGCCTTCGGCGACTTCGGCCGCAGATTCAAGGAACCCTCGCTATCGGAGGGCTTCGAGGACATCGTCCGCGTGGATTTCCGGTTCCGCGGCAGCGAGGAGAGTAAGGGCGTTTGGGGGAAGTATTGGATTTGATCCTGTTGTCTTGCCTTTTGGCTTGGATAGACTTGGATAGGTCTGGGGTTAGATATAGATGTTTGATGGTTGAGTTCATTGCATTGAGGAGATAGATACATACGCCGCTCAATACATATCTCGCTCACACAGCATGGCTAGCATAGTGATCGCATAGCATCACATCATAGAATAGAATAGTACCCGGAGACTAGGTACCTTAATAACAAGGTAATGACCAAGCTTTGAATCCATATATGCATGCATCTACGCCTGGATTCAATCCGATTGATCGACCTGACCCTGGACTACATTGGATCAAATTGAGTTGAACCAACCGGAATGGAACTGACCAGACCAAACCAAACTAGCATTCTTCAACCAAGTATAGTATCTCTCTACCTACCAGTCACCATCCATACATATCATCCGCATACATGCGTCTTTCAGCGGTGAAGAAACCACGTAGATCCCTTACGATAATGAAAATGAAATAAAAGCATGTACTTTGACATTAACCTGCACTACTCCTACTCACCTGTCGAAGTACAGTTAGCTCCGTACTGCAGTGCTTTATGTGGAATTTAGTTGCTGTGTGGGTTCAGTGTATGTGTATGTAGATGTATACTCATGTCTAAGGTATGTTATGTATAGGTGGGGTGTGGGTGTATGTGTGGGTAGTGCATATCCATTACTCAAGTTCTTCTCATCTATCGCTGCTGTGGCCTAGTAGTGATACTGACTCCATACTACACCATGCTACTCCGTATACATCCAAATTATTCAAAAGTAAGAATTATGTATAAATGTAAGTTTATTTCTTCCTGGCTCAACTCTATGAAGATACAGTAGCCATAAAACAGATACCCTGGGTATATAGTAAGGATTGAAACGGCCCAAGCACCAGCGCCCATGAAATAGTATGTAAATATTCATCCATTCCACCCCTCCTCCACCACGTCTTTTTTCTTTTCTTTTTTTGTTTCCTTCTTCTCACCTACATTTGGAACAACGCCAACCAATGTTAGGAAATGCAAGGCGAGACAAAACATTGACAATTCAGGTAGCACAAGGCCACACTATTACATGTGGGTGTAACATGTCATCCGTGGTACAGAAGGGGCACAAGAACAGAACAGAGGGAGGGCTCGAACGTAAAGGAATGGATGCACCGTGCGAGTCAGTAGTCGCAGGCACAGAAATCATCAGTCATCAATTATCAGTCACAGATCGAATACACATGCATAAAGTCCAGGGTAATGGGACAAAACATCGCAAATAAAAAGGAAAAAAGAAAAAAGAAAAAAGAACGAAAAGGAAGACATTAATCGTCACATGCTGTTGTATCGTTCATCCGAGAGGCGTGAAGTCGTTAGATGTTGTACATCATTAAACCTCGCTGTAATTCTATGGTCGTAAATATGCAATGCAAATATGAAAAATGGCTGGGTGAAAAGTGGCTAAGATCGGGAGACGAGGTCTTGGAAGAACCGGACGAGATTCCGTTTCAACGATCGAGACCGACAAAGGCCCGCGCCGTTCGATGCGGGGGCGACGATCTTCATGGGACCGACAATCTCGCCGTCACCCAGGTCGGGGAATTTCTCGTCGTGGAGGCGCGGAATCTTGACCGGTTCGCAGAGCTCGGAATGAGACTCGGGAAGGCTCAGGAAAGCGCCCGCCATCTCTCCAAGCTGGGACAGCATCACTTCGTGGCAGTGCTTCCACTCGCTGTTGGTGCACTCCCACTTCTCCTCGGTCAACTTGTAGATGTTGGACGTGGTGCCGTAGTGCTCGCCGGTCCGGACCAGATGTTTGGTAAAGTTGCAGTGCGCGAGATCCCAGTGGGCGCGCAACTGCTCGAGCGACTTGACGTCACAGACTTCCGGGGCGTAGGGCTCGGGGTAGATCGTGAAATTGGCATGGCCGAGCTTCTTCGCCCACTCGTCCTTGGGATCGGTAAGGAGGAAGGGGGGTACTTCGGTGGACACCGTGCGCGTCGTGCTCGCGCGGGGGCGGTTGAATGACGCGATGGATGGTTTGGTGGACAATGGGGGTGACGGAAGGGCGGCGGTGCGCTGATCCTGGACCGCACCGCCGTCGAGATGCTCGTCGGAGACGTCCGCCACGGATGGCGACTGCAGCGGCGAATGCACGCGGGACACGACGGGATACATGGGCTCGTCACCCATGAAGGGCGGCAGTAACGGGGTGGTCGCATGCGGCACGCAATCTTCGGAGCCGGGGTTGTTGGCTCGTGCGATGTCGATTGGCCGCACACCCGACTCGCTGATCCGTTCCTCGAAGATCGTGCGGGCGGGCGAGGGAGGGACAGTGGCGGCATCCAAACGGACCGCGCCACCCGGGGAGCCTCGTGCAGACGACGCGGAGTTGGTGCGGGATCGGAAGCCGCCCACGAACCCATCGGCGCCGTTGGGGTCATCGGACACGCGCTTGGACTTCCAGCGCGTGGAGATGGTCGAGATGCGAGAGCCGATGCGGGACAGACCTTTGGCCGAGGCGCTGTCGGAGCGTCTCTTTTTGGGCGAATGGGAGACATCCATGGGGGAATCACTCAGGTCGTAGCTGTTGGAGTAGTCGACTGACGAAAGATAGGAGTCTTCTAGGACGGACAAGCCCTGATCAAAACGTTCTGCGATATCCCATGCGTCGGTTAGTCGGGTACATCAGACAGGACCATCGTGCCGGGATAAAAAATAAAAAAATGAAGAGAACGAGGGAAAGGAACGAGGCTGGGAGCAAGGGCAACGTACGGAAATACTCGTCCTCGAGATCCCTCGCGCGGGCCCCACAGGGTTCTTCCTTGACTCCTGTCAAGGGATTCCGCGACGCGCTCTCCATGGAATTTCCGTGACCGGGAGAGGAGACCAATGAGGAGACGGAGCTGGAAAACTGCGTATGGCCCTTTGCAGAAAAAAGAGAGACCGCGGGTGAGACGGGGGTGGACGACGCGGTGGTTAAAGGCGAGGTTGGGGTGGGGTCGACGCCATCACGCCTTCTGGCGTCGAGCAGTTGCGCGAGTTTAACCATGAAGAAGATATGCCAGAGGAGGACAGGCAGTAAACTTTTTTGGGTTGACGATCCTGATGGTGTGTAGATCAAAGGCAAAAAAATGAGGCTGTCCTTCACCGAAGGAGATCAGTGGGAAGCAAGCGCGACACGTTGAGATCGGGGTTAGTTGAGAGGCGGCAACAACATGATCCACCACATGGAAGGGAGTAAATAGGTTGGGATATTTTCTTTGTTTGAGTCAACTGTGCTGTCGGTCTGAATCCGGAGAAATCAAAGACGGTGAAGCAGGAAAAGAAGTAAAGCAGAAAGAAAAGATCCGGGGCAAGAGATCTCGAAAGTAGTCCGGTGATGAACCGGGATGAGCCTTTAAGGTAGAGAAGCGAGGGCCGACGTGGCCGTGGCGGTGAAAAAGGCGACCCGACGTGAGGAAGGAAGCGAAGCGGAAGGGACCACGGTTGGGGAAGTATGTACCAGCGCGAACCGCAGGAACAGCAGGAGGAATGGGGGACTGGCGGAGCGAGGAGAATTGCAGGCGGTAGGGCAGGTGGGCAGGTAAGAGCAAAGACGTGGAGCCCGTCAGTGGATGCCGAGTCGAACAGCTGGAGATTGACAGCTCAGTAGCGTTGCTGCAGTCAATCGCTGCCCGTTGGATGGGAAGGATGGACGAATCGGTGAGCCTGATATGAGGGGAACTGGGTACAAAGAGAGAGAAAGAAAGAAAAAGAGTCGAGGAGAGAGGAGAGAAGAGAAGAAGAAGAGGAACAAAAAGGATGACGAGTGAGGAAGTAGAAAAGAAAAAAGAATCAAAAAGAAAAAGAAAAAGAAAAAAGAAAAAGAAAATAGATCGGAAGTAGTAAAAAGAGTAGAGTAGAAGAGCAAGAGGATCAACGGTGGAGTGGGAATGGAAGCACAGACAAGGAACCAAACCTTTGTTTGGAATGATCGTTCAGACAGGTTTTTAATTCGATAAAAAAGACATTTCAAACTCATCTCTCGACTAGATCGAATCTATCCAATCCTTCATTCTCGTCAAATCGACCCTGTGGAGGCAAAAAAGAGAGAAACCTTTTCCAACCGAGTGTCTTGATCCGACCCTGATGTGATACCCGACACCATTTCAAGGTTTCTCATTCTTTTTCCTTTCTTTTCTTTATTTTCTTTCTTTCTTCCTTTCTTCCCCATCCTTTTGACCCTTTTTTTTTCTTTCTTCTTTTCTGATTCGAGAATATAAGACAGTCCCATGGTAAGTCAGCCTGTTTGCCACGGCGTTCTCAACCATCCCTCGCCTCTCTTTGGTTCCGACAACCAACGGACATACTACGCGGTCAATTGGCTCTGGATAGACAATTGGTTCTCAATAGACAATTGGGTTCTGATGCATGTATATTGACATACTTCATGACGGAGTGGATGGCTGAAACAAAAGACGTGTTGGAATCTTTCCGGCGTACAGAGTACAGGTACATGCGAACTATACAAAACACCCTCTGTCGGAGATCATTCGGGCAGTGGTCCCCGAAAATTTTTTTTTTTTATAGATACAAAATAGATGGATCTGTTCAACAGCAGCCTCCCGTCCATCCGTCGATTTCGTTCTGCCTTCTGTAACGGCCTTGCAACGTCCTGTCGACCCGCTCAACTATATAGGTACTAGTCGCAGTCCGAAAAGAGGGGCAGATCAGCAAGAAACCAGACAAGACTGGAGTCCCCGTCAACATCTAGGCTCTGACCGACTCGACTGATCGAACACAGACATCTCCATCGGGTTGACTGAGCTCCAGTGGCGGGTCGATTCCGGGATTGTAGTGCGACATCGCATCGTCATGCTTGACCAGCCTTGAAAGAACCCTAGTTAAAAAAATATATATATAATAAAAGATAAATATTATTATTAATGAAAAAGAAAAAAGTACCGTGATCTATCATTAGGTATCATCCCAATCATCAGTCAGACTCTATCTATTTCATGCGAGTGATGCTCAGAAATTGATCAGGTTGCGACCAATTCACCCAATCGTGAGAAGTCTCGAGGCCATGAGGCAGGTTGCGGTGTCAGCTGGCGAGGACGAAGAAGCTGAATCCATACTGACTGAACCCATGCAAACCCCGGTTCTTTTTCTTCCCTTCCCCCCTCCCCCTCCCTCCAAGACTATTTATGGTGTTGTGGGATTGCTCGCTTTTTCCTCAGGTCGTCAATAACACACAAATATATTACCAACTGGAGACATCTTTCAGCCAACCGTTCAAGACAAACCTTTGGTGCCGACGTCAAAGTTCCACATGGTAGCAACCTAGTTGTGTTGAAAGTGGTTCTCAGCTCATGGAGCCCAACTCTGTATGGCTGAACCAGAGAGTGACAAGGAATGGAAAGAGAACACCTTCGGGTCATTGTGAGTGGATGGATGTGGTTTGGCGGGGTCCGGTTCCGCGGATTGACTGGCACTTGGCATCCTCCAACGTCACCCTCTGTAGACTTCGGATAAGTATCGGAGGATGGCAGACCTGACTGTACAGTGTGTGTGTAGGCAGCTTCACTCTATACAAATATCTGTTTGACACTGCGTCAATTAGGACGTGGAGTCCACATTAGAGCTTGGTCTAACTGTATGAACTGATAGATTCCACATAGTTCATCAAGTCCACTTGCATCATGATCAGCGAACTCCCAAAAGCAAGGGAATCAATAGAAACTGCACTATGAGTCAGACCAACAAACAAACGAGTAGCTACCCAAGTAGTTAAGATAACGAATGAGTTGTAAAAGTGAAACTATTCCTAAAGTAGTCAAGGAATCCGATACGGTCAACACCCGATGTTTGTGTTGTTTGTCCGACTGTCGGGTCATCCCGATGCTTCACTCCGAGTCGAGTGGAGATGAAGCCCGGACAACACTCCCTGTGTTCGCATCACTTATATCTACAATTGGAACCCCGCCAATGATTTGATTCCATTGATTGAATCCAGAATTGAATACACCGATTCCAATCAATTGAATGCATTGATACATCGACTATGAAACTCTCCTCGACTCTCCTCTTAACCGCCACGGGTTTGTCCGCGGCTTCTCCGCACCCCGCACCTCCACGGCAATTGCAGCTCGCTGTCCAGGACGATGCGCCTCTGCTAGAGTCTCTATCATCCGTGACAGACTCCCTAGACGACGTCATCAACGCCTCACCCTTCCTGTCTTTCCACCGTGGCCTCGTCCAGACCTCGTCCGTCTCAAACGACGAGCAAAACGCGGGGTCCTTCGTCGCGGAGTTCCTCGAGTCGCACAACTTCACCGTCATCAAACAGCCCGTCGGCAACGACGACTCCACCGCCAACACGCAAGGCCGCTTCAACATCTTCGCCTACCCTCCCGCATCACCCTCCCCCCAAATCCTCCTAACCAGCCACATCGACACCGTCCCCCCCTTCATCCCCTACTCTCTCTCTCACCCCTCCAATGACGCCTCCTCCCCCTCAACCATCCGCATCTCCGGCCGCGGCTCCGTCGACGCCAAAGCCAGCGTCGCAGCCCAAGTCTTCGCCGCGCTCGACATCCTCCAATCCGACCCCACCGCCCCCCTAGCCCTCCTCTTCGTCGTCGGCGAAGAAGTCGGCGGCGACGGCATGCGCGCCTTCTCTGACTCCCCCTCCCTGAACCCTTCCCCCTCCCCCTTCACCACCGTCATCTTCGGCGAGCCCACGGACCTGGCCCTCGTCTCAGGCCACAAAGGCATGCTCGGCTTCCAGGTCGTCGCCAACGGCCACGCAGCCCACTCAGGCTACCCCTGGCTCGGCCGCAGCGCCGTCTCCGCCATCCTCCCCGCCCTGTCCGTCGTCGACAAGCTGGGCTCTCTCCCCGACGGCCTCCCCCCAAGCCCCAAGTACGGCCCCACGACCGTCAACATCGGTCGCGTCGACGCAGGCGTCGCGACCAACGTCGTCCCCGCCCAAGCCGTCGCAGACGTCGCCGTCCGCCTCGCGGCCGGAACCCCCGACGAAGCGAGGGAAATCATCCGCCGTGCGGTCCGCGACGCCACAGCCGGCGACGAGGACGTCGTCGTCGACTTCGCGTCCCACGATGAGGCTTACCCCCCGCAGGACCTCGATACGGACGTCGCTGGGTTTGACATTATTACTGTGAACTACGGCACGGACGTGCCGAACTTGCGTATTCATGAGCGGGAGGATGGTGAGCCTGTCCGTCGCTACTTGTATGGGCCTGGTAGTATCCATGTTGCGCATGGAGATAATGAGGCTCTTACCGTTGGGGATTTGGAGAATGCGCTGCAGGGGTATCGTCGGTTGGTGGAGGCTGCGTTGGAGAGGTGATCTTCCTTGTTAGAGTGGTGATGGTGTTGTAATGCATGGTTTGAGGTGTGGGTGGAAAAGTTGGTTATGCCTCGTTGTGTTGAGTGATGCAATTGCCTGGATAGGAGGATATAGTAATGTAGATTATGATATATTGCCATATGCTGAGTCTAACGTACATCATACATATAGTGTATATATACACCCACATATATCATAGTAAAAGAAAACGAAAGAAAGAAAAGGGACTAAACTAGTCAGCCAACCAACCACTCACTATACACAGTCCCCGCTAATCTAAGACGAATAAACTTATCCAGACATGACACGACCTTACTATATATATACCAACAGCAATGCCAATACCAGGCCAGTACCGAAGAAGAACATTACAAAAACCAAACCAATATAATCAATGAAATAAAATGAAATAAAAACCAACATATATACCTACCTAATCATATCATATCATATCAATTCCCCCCAGCACGATCCCCCCCAGCACTATCTTCTCCCCCACCCGTCTGCTTCACCCCCACCACCTTCCTCGCCCTCTCCCACCCCGTCTTCAACTCCCCACCCGGCACAAATCTCGGCATCGGATGCGCCTCCGTGTTAAAGATATTCTCCTCCAGCGGGAGGAAATCCCTCTCCGAGAACAGCAGATACATGTACTTGAGCGTCTCCGCCATCCAGAAGCTTTCCATGTTGTCGCGCTTGGAGGTCGGGATCGTGTCGGCGTTGTTGAGGGATGTGAAGCCGACCACGCGAGGGTTCTTTGTCTTGCCTCCAGTGGTGGAAGAGTCGGATGGGGGAGAGTCGGTGTCGTCTTCGACGACGGCTGTGTGCCGCACGAAGGACTTGAACATTTCCCATCCCCATTGGCGATAGGTGTCATCTCCGGTGATGCGGTACATGTAGAAGAGGGATTCGACGGTCTCGGGCCGTTGGAGGTTGTGGCGGTCTTGTTGGTGGATGTTGAGGTCGGATTTCCACGCTGGGTCTTCCCCGCTGTGCTGGGGCTGGAGGGGTTTGGACTTTAGGGGCAGGTCCTTTCCGGTGGATTTGCGGTTTCCTGTTGTCAGGGTGGAGTCTGGATACATGTCTTTTTCCATGATGGGCGGCTCGTCGAGCTTGAAGTAGGTGATCTCCGGGGCGAGTCCGCTCTTCGTGGCGAGGTATGTCGCCCAGCATGTTTTCATGAGTTCCTTGGAGAGAAGGATCTCTTCGTCTTGGCGCTGGGTCCAGGTGGGGGACTTTTTGGCTTCGGAGAGGGGCTGCCCGCCTGTTGCGCCGAGGGCGATGGATCCGGGGAGGAAGCAAGCTAGGTGGTCCATCTTGGGGTAGAGGGGTCCGCTGACACCGGAGGGCAGCTCCGCTAGGACTGTTAGGTGGGCGTCTTTGGAGTATGTGATCAGGTTTTTGCGGATGCCGAGGAGGGACTCATCCCACATCTCTTTGTAGATGTCTTCGCCTGTTTGGAGGTATTGCTTGATGAGGTATTCTAATTGCATACATGTTAGCACTCGGAGTGTATGGGGGAAGAAAGAGGAATTCAAGACATACCGTAGTAGGAGTCGCCACGACTCCCCAGACGAATCTGTTCACCCTTGAAATCTCCAGTCTCAGGGTAGAGGAATATAGGGAGCAGGCCATCTTCAGCCTTCTGCGCATCCACCACTTGCATCACCTTTTCAGCAGCGCGCCAGAATTCCGCCTCGCCGGTCAGCTTCGCCAGATACTTGAACTCCAGCTGCAAACTTGTCGCCTCAGCCGTAGACGACGCGCCATTATCGGCGTGCGACGGGATTGCCTTCGAGTCATGGAGGTTGACGCTCGCATAGGGCACCCCCGACGCGCTCTCAAACGCACCCATCAGTCGATCCGCCAGGTCGGTCGCCTTCTCGATGTACAGGTCCTCGCCTGCAGCTCCCGCGTCGTCGTCTGTGATCGGAGCGAGATCCGGATACGTGGTGGAGAGGTAGTGTGCGGAGAGAAGCCCGCCCAGCATGCGGATCGTGGTCTCGAACATGCTCACGTCGTGATCCTGGTCGTATTGCAGGGAGTTGTGGATCCAGCTCCGTGCGTGTTGAACGCGCGAGGTGAGATTCATGATCATGAGCGTGTCGAGCGCGTCGACGATCGTCCAGCCCATGCCGCCGTGGATCATGTCTCGGCCTGTTTTGGATACGGGGTAGTATTCGTCTCGTCCTGTGCAAATAAGATCAGTACTCGTAGAGCCGGAATTGCCTCCAGTGACCTGGGGTAGAGGGGCGACACATACCCCACGCATGATTCTCGTAGCCATCCCAGCTAACCATGAGCACCTCCCTAACCTTCTCCCTCCTCGCATCCCAATCGACATCCTTCTCCGACCCCGACTCAGCATCCAAACTCTCAATCCATTTCCACAAGTCCGCTCCGGGATCACTAGTCGCCACTTTCGACCTAGATACATCCACCCCATACCCCACAAAATAACACCAAAGAAACACGACGAAAACCAGACACACCCCAGCGTACAGGATCCTCCTCCGCCTCAGCCTCGGACCCGTGCGCCGCGGCGCGAAATAAGGCTTGTCCTTGTACATCGGGAGCGTGCGCTCACCCGAGAAAAACCCACCCACGTTGCTGGTTAACCCTGGTGATTGGGATAACCCATATCCCGGTAGTCTGTTTGGTCCGGGTCCTGGGCTGCGACTCGCGCGCCAGTAGTTGCTTTCGAGGGGTCGGTGCGGGGAGAGTGATGGGTTGCGCTGTGGCGGTTGGAAGGACATTTTTTCTTGCCGGTTGTCGGTCTGGGGTTCCGGCGTCTGAATGTTGAGGCTCAAGTGTGCTTTTCGCTAACGAAGTGTCGCAAATATTAGGGAGCGAAAAGTCGTGGTCCGTGGCGCAACTGTTCGCGAGGGGGCGATGGCGATTGCTCTCCCGGCATTGGCTGCTGACAATCGCTCGAAATTTTCAAGTCGCGCAGTTCTATAGAAAAGCGATCGGACGTCAGCGATGTACTCTAGTCCACAGCGGAGCCGTCTCCCCTCATCACGGAGGAACCTGGTGAATGGCAAACTTACCAGCATCCAACAATGCGCAAGGTCGTCTCTGTTATCCAACACAAGCACAATCCACTATCGTGAATTTCCACGTGTGATCAGTCAGTATCCAAGAAATCAATAAATCCCACCCTGTGTAGGCGTAGCGGTGGCCATTGCCATGGGAATAAATAGAATCTATGCACTCTGTTGGAGGTGTGGCCACCTTGGAGTGTTTTGGCCACGGCTGTAGATCCCCCGAAGAGTTGGCGGACCCGCTCCTTGGCGTTCGAACAATCCATTCATCCATTCCCTGTTCCAGGGACAAGGACATGATGATTAGGCTATCATGGTTATATTAATATGGAGGATGGTAGGTGGGATCTGGGTGATATATTATCATAGTGAAAATTTATAAAGTAAGAAGGGAGCTGGTGCAACAGGCTCTTGGTCTACCATGGACATTCGAAAACCTAGTTAGTAGCCATTATCTACGTATAGTTGACTTGAATCATTCTTAAGGTCGCCTCAAAGCAGAGGTTGAAATTGCTAAATCTCAATGATTATCCACCAACAACATCGCACTCATCTAAAGCTTCTGGTATTCGAGTTTGCCTTCCAACTTCTTCGACTCCGCCACCTTGCGCACCGCCCGGTTGAAGTCGTCCTGGTTGATAGAATCTCGGTAATCCTTGATCGCAAAGAGGCCACTATATTCTGTCAGACACTTCTCAATCAAATGAAGAACAAAAGAGGGACTTACGCCTCAGTAACAACGTTACGGAGATCAGCTCCGTTGAGGCCGTCACTCATCTTGACCACGCTCTCAAAGTCGATCTCCCCGTCTAATACGACTGTGCTGGTATGGATCTTCAAGATCTCAAGACGACCGACCTCATTAGGCAGAGGGATCTCAATCTTGCGGTCCAGACGTCCGGCACGCAGCAGGGCCGGGTCCAGTGTGTCAGGCCGATTCGTAGCCATGATAATCTTCGTCTTGCCCAGGTAGTCGAAGCCGTCCAGTTGGTTGAGAAGCTCCATCAGTGTACGCTGGATCTCTCGATCAGCAGAGGTTCCTTCCGAGAAACGTCTCCCACCGATGGCGTCGATTTCATCCATGAAGATAATGCAGGGCTCGTGCTCCTTGGCGTAGCCGAACATCTCTCTTATTAACCGGGCGGACTCGCCAATGTACTTGTCGACAATCGCGGACGAAACCACTGTAGTTGGTCAGCAAGGAGGTCCCTCTGTCTTGATGTCCGGTGTATCGCCTACCCTTCAAGAAGTTGGTTTCGATGGAGCTTGCTACCGCTCGTGCCAGCAATGTCTTTCCGGTACCGGGAGGTCCGTAAAGCAACACACCCTTGGGCGGTTTGATACCGACCCGATGGAAAAGCTCCGGGTTCTTCAGCGGCAACTCGATCACTTCTCGCAACTCTCGGATCTGCTCGTTCAGACCACCAATTCCTGCAAAGCTGACCTGCCCAGGATCCTCCAGAGACATATTATACACCAGCGGGTCGACTTCACGGGGAAGCATGCGCATGATCGTCAGAGTCGTCATATCGAGGGCAACACGGGTTCCCTGCTTCATCTTCGCCTTGTCGACCTTGGAGCGGCAGCCAACAACGTATCGAGGTCCGGATGATGCCTTGACGATGACTGTTGAAGTTAGCTTCTCATCCAAGGAGTATGGCATTCAACCAGGAATGAAACATAGCAAAACACAGAAGCCATACATCTCTCTTCGTCCAACTGCTTCAACACCTCGCCGATGATCTGGCCAACACTTTGCAGGGCCTTGATGTTTTCTTCAGAGATATCAAATTCTCTTTGCAAATCCTTGATGCCCATGCGGAGCGACTTGAGCTTTGCCTCCCATTCTCTCAAGTCCATCAGACTCCTCTTGTAATCATCGAGCGCCTGGTCACGCTCTGGATCACTGGCGCCGTTCATCGTGGATGGGACGGCGAACCGAGGGATGTATCGAGTTGGATGGGCAGATCGATCAAATCTTTCAATCAGAAAAGAGGGTTTGATCGCCGCGTTGTAGATGGGTCGGAGTTGATTCAAGGATGCGATGATGTGGAGAGTATATCTGGATTGACTTGCGGCCAGCTCGGCGAGCTGTCCAGGGAAGCTAACGGGCCCCAGGCAGTCAGATCACATGACCATAGTACATCACCTCATATCATGTGACTTACTTGCTGCCTGATGTTTATGCCTTACAGCCAGCAGGTGATCACCTCGTGTTATTGTTTCTCCGAGACCGTCAGGCAGCAAGGTGTCAAGGCCAGCCTCATTACGCAATCACAACTTTCCATGGAGGGGATGGAAGTTTCGAGACGATGACGATGTATTCCGACCTTCTCCTTCTCTGGGGTGTTGGGGATAATCCAATGGAGCCGAAGATATTACGGCATAAATACTATTGCTAGATTAACTCAATTCTCGCAACTGAGCAGCAATTCCATTGGTTCTATAGTGATGATTCCATTCCTTTGACCATTTAGTACACCTTGATCTGAGCTACTTTAATTGTAGGTGTATCTAGGTCGGTGTTGAGTGGTTGTAGTCTACTTATGCTTGCACTCTTACTACTAGGTCGCCAGTACTAACTAGAGGATAGTAGCTGGAAGGGACAAATAATACCATTAGTATACCTAGTAACCACGGAAGACATAGACATAGACATAGGGATCTCGTACAGACTTCCAAGTCCACTCTAGTCGACAGTAGACGAGGGATTTTATCCAACATTATCATCACCGACCAGAGAGTCTCCGCCTTACCCCGAGGGAATACGGAAGATTTCGCTGGACGGCGTCACAGCAACCAGTGGCCTCGGCCAGCGGGAGACTCAGGACGACATCCTGCCCCACCATCACGTTGGAAAGAATCGGAGGGACAGCCGGGGGAAATCAATTGACCTCATACAAGAACCAGCCATTTCCTCTTCTTTGATTTTATTATTTTTACTCTTTTCTTCCTTAACCTAATCTACCATTCCGACTCTTAAGTTACTGTAAGTCTGACCCGATCTGGTAGTGTTTCTTTCTACCTTACGCCGGTTGACCCCGCCATCCCACCTTACCCTACCACTCTTCCCTACCACTACTACCACTACTGCCACTACAGAGCTACAGCTAGCTGTTGCTACTTACTTGCTGTCCCGTCAATTGTTCTGCCGTCATCCCCCCCCACCTCACTCATTCTTCCTACTCTCCCAATCCTCAAACTCAACCTGTCTACTGGATCAGTGGGTTCTTCTGCCTCATACTCTTGCCATCTTCTATCCATTGCACTATTTGTCCCTGTCGGTCGATCATAACAACAAGTACGATCCAATCAATCCCACCTCTCCCCTCTTCTTGTCATCCAATCACCGACCAATCTTTTGGGTCATCGGTGAACAATCCCCCCGCTGCTAGCCTGTCCCCAACAAACAATCCTGAGCTCTTATTTATTTCGCTGTTTCTCCCTGCTTCTAACTTTACCGCCATTGTCTTTTTTTCCGTTTCTCAGTCTCTTATCCAAACTTACCAAACTGATTCGTGTGTCAGCTACCAAAATGCCTATCACCAAGATCCACGCCCGCTCCGTCTACGACTCCCGTGGCAACCCCACCGTCGAGGTTGACCTTGTCACCGAGACCGGTCTGCACCGTGCTATCGTTCCCTCCGGAGCTTCCACCGGTCCGTATATCCTGGATTGTCCTTATTCTTTCGACCAACGAAGCTGACTCCGTTATAGGCCAGCACGAGGCCATCGAGCTCCGTGATGGTGACAAGACCCGCTGGGGTGGCAAGGGTACGTACTTCTGTCATATCTGCTTGAGAAGCACGCATGTGAATACGCATGACTGACCAATGGCATGAACAGGTGTTCTCAAGGCCGTCAAGAACGTTAACGAGACCATTGGCCCTGCCCTCATCAAGGAGAACATCGATGTGAAGGACCAGTCCAAGGTTGATGAGTTCCTCAACAAGCTTGATGGCACCCCCAACAAGGCCAACCTCGGTGCCAACGCCATCCTGGGTGTCAGCTTGGCCATTGCCAAGGCTGGTGCTGCCGAGAAGGGTGTTCCCCTCTACGCTCACATCTCCGACCTCGCCGGAACCAAGAAGCCCTATGTCCTCCCCGTCCCCTTCCAGAACGTCCTGAACGGTGGTTCCCACGCCGGTGGCCGTCTGGCTTTCCAGGAATTCATGATCGTTCCCGAGTAAGTGACCCCGGACAATCGACAGCCCTAGAAGCTGTACTGACGGATTCATAGTGCTGCTCCCTCTTTCTCCGAGGGTCTGCGCCAGGGTGCCGAGGTCTACCAGAAGCTGAAGGCTCTCGCCAAGAAGAAGTACGGCCAGTCCGCCGGCAACGTTGGTGATGAGGGTGGTGTTGCTCCCGATATCCAGACCCCCGAGGAGGCCCTCGACCTGATCACCGAGTCCATCGAGCAGGCCGGCTACACCGGCAAGATCCACATTGCTCTGGACGTCGCCTCGTCCGAGTTCTACAAGGAGGGCAAGTACGACCTGGACTTCAAGAACCCCGAGAGCGACCCCTCCAAGTGGCTCACCTACGAGCAGCTGGCCGACCTGTACAAGTCGCTGGCCAGCAAGTACCCCATCGTCTCCATCGAGGACCCCTTCGCTGAGGACGACTGGGAGGCCTGGAGCTACTTCTACAAGACCTCCGACTTCCAGATCGTCGGTGACGACCTGACGGTCACCAACCCTCTCCGCATCAAGAAGGCCATCGAGCTCAAGTCTTGCAACGCCCTCCTCCTCAAGGTCAACCAGATCGGCTCCCTGACCGAGTCCATCCAGGCCGCCAAGGACTCCTACGCTGACAAGTGGGGCGTCATGGTGTCCCACCGCTCCGGTGAGACTGAGGATGTCACCATCGCCGACATCGCCGTCGGTCTCCGCTCCGGCCAGATCAAGACCGGTGCCCCCGCCCGCTCCGAGCGTCTGGCCAAGCTGAACCAGATCCTCCGCATCGAGGAGGAGCTCGGCGAGAACGCCATCTACGCCGGCACCAACTTCCGCAATGCCGTGAACCTCTAAATGCTCGGACGAGAAAACGTCCGCACGGTCTCCTAAATCATGCTTGATACCCCGCGTATGATGGGAGCCGGAGGCCTGGTTCGACCAGGATTACTCTCAAACAGTTACGCTGGTTGCCTCTGTATCAGCGACGATAACTGACTGAGATTTATGATGAATGATAAGATTTTCAGTGGCTACATAATGAAAAGTGAATTAATCAATTTCAAAAAAAATAAAAATAAAAAATAAAATAAAAAAAATTCCGTAGTCCCTCACTCGTACCCTGCTGTGTGATGTGAACACGTAAGACGTTGATATAACCAGCAATACGATCGATGATAGTCGCGAGTAACACCCTCTACTAGTCCTGGAGGGCAGAGGGTAGAGGGCAGAGGACCCTGGGTTCGGGCACCAACGGCACCTATAGCGTCACGTGACCTCACAAACAGCCCCACCAACGGAATCCGATCCATGGCGACGCAGTTGACTGTTCATTGATAGACCTTCTCTCACTGCCAACTGCAAACTCCTGGGATAACTCCCTGTCTGTGTATAACATTTGGGCCTATTGACCCGCAAGACGCTACGATATCAGCGACTACCTACCAGTTTTTGCAAACAACTTCAACAACTATGCCGCCTTCGAAGTGGGGTAAGTTTTTCTTTCCCTGGATTTTTGTCCTTTGAACCCATGACCGCCTCGTCTTTTTCTTATAACAAGTGCTAATGAGATGACTTGGTATAGACGAAGAGGAGGAGAGTACCTCTCCCCCGCCTGTGGTCGGAAGACGGAGGTTCGACGATGAGGAGGAGGACGAGGTATGTGCAATTTTTTTTTTTTTTTTCTTCCTTTTACCTTTTTGGCACCTGTGGCTTCTTTCGTGGCATCCCCATATGCCCCTCGAATATAATCACACCACTCTCCTCCCCCGCCTATCTCCCATCTAGCTAGCATGCTTGACTGACGATAATCATTTATATTAAATAGGTCCTCGACTCCTGGGACGCAGCCGAAGACTCCGAAGTCGAGCGCGAAAAGGCCAAAAAGGCCTCCGAAGCCAAGGCCAAGGCCGACGCCGAAGCCGCCGCCAAGAAGAAGAGCAAAGCCCAGCGCATAGAAGAGCACAAGCTGGAGCGGCGCCAGCGCGCCGCCGACGCCTCGGACTCGGACGAGAGCTACGACGAGGACGAGACGGAGCGCCGCGCCCGGCTGCGCGCCACGGAGCAGGACGCGGACCTCAAGCACGCGCAGGACCTGTTCGGCGATATCGACATGAACCGGATGCGTGGTCGCGGCTCGCCCAAGGCTGTGGTTGTTGCTGATGCGGCGGATCCGACCAACTCGGTGGATCTGTCGGCGATGCCGCTGTTTAAGCCGACGACGAAGGATCAGTTTGCGAAGGTCACCCAGACTTTGATCCCGCTGTTTGCGGCGCAGGCGAAGAAGCCGCAGTATGCGATCTGGGCGCTGGAGTTCACGAAGCAGCTTGTGAAGGAACTGCCGAGTACGGAGGTGAAGAAGATCTCGAGTGCGCTGTCGACTATGAGCAATGAGAAGATGAGGGAGGAGAGGGCTGCTGATAAGGGAAACAAGAAGAGTAAGGCGGCCAAGACGAAGGTTACGTTGAATGCGAACCGGGACTCGCATATGGATACTGCTAACTATGGGGATGATGATGGTGGGCTGGGGGATGATGATTTCATGTGATTTTTTTCTGGCTAATTAATTTAGTTTCTTCTTCTTCTTCTCGTTTTGCCCCCCTCTTTTCTGTTTGTTTGTTTCTTTCTTTCTGATTTACTTGGTTTTACTCATCGCTGCCCTTTAGATAACATCACCCTGTTGGTCAGTCCAACTGGCCGGACCACGAGGGTTGATCAATGCCTTTCCATCTGCCCTTCCCACACATGTACACACCTGTCCATTTATTCCTTCCCCCCCAGCCAGATCATACACTTTGTCAGGTGGTAGACCATTGTTGATAAAAAGCGCTGAACTTTGATGTTGGACGAACTCGTTGAGTTGAATTGAATCTGTCGTAGGTTAGTAGATACCTACATAGATAAGTGGTATTTGTTTGTCTTGTTGGAAGTACTCACCTTGCATCCTCAGACCTGGCATATATCTATTGATATACCTAGTTGTTGGATATTCTACTGGTTGGTCAAGTGATATGAGCCAAGGTCGCACTTGGGTTTGCTCGTCATCGATGTGTTCACGTGACTTGATGAGGTATCTTTGGATTCAATATGACTTGCGGTTCAATGGAGGGGATACTATGACAGCTTTGTTGTTTCGTGTCTGGTCGTAGTCTACCGAGGTCTCGGGCTAGGGTGATTTGGGAGCGAATGGTAAGAAATAGCTGAAATAACACAATGTATCTTGCTGGGGTGGGAATAGAGACAGTAAAAGAGAGATAGATTCCACTCAGCCCCTTTCCCGGCGCTCTCCAAACTTCAAACTCCGCTAGCCGTCCACACGAATCCCGAGCAAGTGGAAGTCATGAACCAGACCAAACCCGTCAACGCAGCTAGAAAGCTAGAAACAGACCTTCACATGTACTTCCTGGAGAAATCGAACGTCCAAATCAGGCACGCCGAGCAAGAACGCGGTTTTTGATACAACACTAAGGAAAACGCCCATCCCTCAAGTCTCTTACGACTCAGCCGCGGGGGCGGGCTTGGTCTCCTCGCCCTTGTCCTCGGGGGCGGCCGCGGACTCCTCCTCGGGCTTGTCCTCCTTGGAGGCGGAGCCCTCGCCCTCGTTGCCGTCCGAAGACGTCCACAGGGTGAGGTTGTCACGCAGCAGCTGCATGATCAGGGTGCTGTCGCGGTAGCTCTCCTCCGACAGGGAGTCCAGCTCCGCGATCGCGTCATCAAACGCCTGCTTGGCCAGGTGGCACGCACGGTCGGGGGAGTTCAGGATCTCGTAGTAGAAGACGGAGAAGTTCAGGGCGAGACCCAGACGGATGGGGTGGGTGGGGGTGAGGTCGGTCTGGGCGACGTCGGTAGCGTTCTGCATCTCATTAGTAAGGATATTTGAGAGTTGATGGCGACAGACGAACCTTGTAGGCCTCGTGGGCGGCAGTGGCAGCAACCTTGCGCTTGTTGCCGGACGCAAACTCGGCGAGGTAGCGGTGGTAGTCACCCTTCCTGTTCATCAAAATGTTATTAACCACCAGAGGGATCGACGCACGGGTTAGGCCACCAGACGCGCTTACATCTTGTAGTAGAACACCTTGGACTCGCCAGTCTCGGCCTTGGGGATCAGAGACTCGTCCAACACATCAAGGACATCCTGGCAGACCCGCTCCAGCTCGTTCTCAATCTTTTGACGGTAGTCGCGGATGATGGTGACGTGCTGCTCCGAGCCCTTGGACTCCTCCTTCTGCTCGATGGAGGAGATGATACGCCAGGAAGCACGGCGGGTGCCGACGACATTCTTGTAGGCGACGGAGAGAAGGTTACGCTCATCGACGGTAAGCTCGCCTCCGATCTGACCAAGCGACGGGGGTTAGTAACGCAGAGAAACGATGCGAGGATGCGCACGGGACGAGGGAATCGGAACAGGGAGGCGACAGCATACGTTGGCAACTTCCTATGAAACAGTTAGCGATCTAATCTCGAGGGAGTGGGAGGATCGTGGTAGCTGCTCACCTTCATGTAGAGGACCATCTCTGTAGACGCCAGGGATCAGCATGACAAGACACCCGAATTACCATGATACATGTAGAGCTCACCATCATAACGCTCAGCCTGCTCACACAGACGTGCGAGGAACGTCTTGCTAAACAGGGGGAAAGGCATTAGTGTCGCTATTCTTCACTTGTTTCTTCTTTTCTTCTTCTTTTTTTTTTTTTCCAAGTGTCGATCGAGACCGTCGAGATCCTTACCTATCGCGCTATCCATATAGACAAATAGTTAGTATTCAGACCCAAATAAATCAATTAAGCACCAGGATGATAGAAGAGGTAAAAGCGAAGGATGACAGGGAAAGAAGCGAAAAGCAGTTGCCGAACAGACGGGGTCATCATGACAACATGAATTTGGAGAGTGGTGTGGATGGAGACGGTATGATAAACAACATCATGGACGACAAGCCGAGAGGGGTTAGGCTGGAACAACATACCTCAGAAGTCATGGTGAAAGATGGAGGGGTAGAAAGGCGGATGGAGAAAGGAGGAGAAAAGAAGGACTAGAGGAAGAGAGAGATGGAGTAGAGGAGAGAGTGGTGATGAAACAGAAGAGGAGATAATTTGACGTTGATAGAATGTATTGAGGGGAAGTTGGAAGAGGGAGAGATGAGAGAGGGAGAGAGAAGGAGAGAGGGCGGGCGGTGGGGGGAGACACAGAGAGAGAGAGAGAGAGGGTGGGAAGAGTGGATAGGCAGGTGAGGTAAAGGTACTTCTAGATGGGAGAAATCACTGGAGATACGCTCCTCACTACTATAGGCTGCTTGAAACTCTAGCTTAGCGAAAGACTCTCTTTAGATGTCTCTATCGATTTATTTATTTCATTAGTTCTCTCTTTCTCTCCCCTGTCCTTTCTAGAGCTGATCGGGTTGCACGGGTTGAACGGAGTGTGCCTCAGGTATGAATGAGGCTGTCTGACATTTGAGGCACCAAGGCAGACCGTCACCTACGATCGTTCTTTTGCCTTCTATGCTTCTCCGCCAGTTGGGCCAGTTGTGACCGATATTCTCCAGGTCGCATCGATCTCACCTATCACCGCGCCTGTTGTCATCATGGTGATTCGTGTGGATAACTAGTCGGCCCCACCGCATACAAGTGGTTTCTGATTGTTTCTTTGATGCCCCCTAACTGACATTGTGAGTGGACAATGTAGGCGCCAGCCATTCTCACCACCGTTGACCGATTGTACTGTCGCACCAGCCTTGTCTATCTACACGCAAGTAGCCATTTGCTTGACAATTTCAGTGGACATATATATCATATATATATATATGTGTGTGTGTGTGTGTATTACAAGGGAAAGAGAAAGAGTATAAATGACAACTGAAGCTCCCTAGTAGCTACCTACCAAACTGCAAATGGCTTGCACTAAAACCGCCGATGGAGCGCTCCATGAAACCATGTGGACAGAACAGCACTGAAACCATCAAAGTAGCGAACGGTGTTGATCAGACCGTAGTATTATGGATTCGCCACGACAAAGTTTTCGATTCACATTTACGTTATACCTAAGTGGCAATCCCTTGAGTCGCTTTCCTGCGGACTATATGGGGCTGGACTCGACCTTGAGGTGGTAAAAACCATTGCTAGGCCACTCCATTCTCCATATTCTAGGCCGATCGGTGGAACGGATTTCTTCGCCTCGATCTTGGAGGCAGACAGCATCATCGCCTTCTGGTGGAGACTTGAACTCGGCGTAACATGCTAATACATAAGATGTATCTATTTTACAATACCCTCGACAAACAGCCCCGAACCCGAAACTCCCGCCTGATACTCCAGGCAGGGATGGAAGCAACGGGGATGTTTCAAGCAATCACCTTAATAGCATACCATGCTTTGTAGAAGTGATATCTGATTTAGATACACAATCACCTATACAATCACCAATTATAACTATAATAAAAGATCTAAATTGTTATCAACAATACTGTGGGGTCGTTCTCCAGGTGGGTAAAATTACCGTTCAGCCCTGCAAGTGTTCTGTTCGGCAGTTTTCACGCCGTGACGGGGCCGACCATCGACCGGCCCCAGGCATCGCAAAAGAACACGTTGAGAAGTGTCTCGCAGAAGATTGGCTTGGTCAGATTCCTGGTTTCCCTGCTTTGTCTTCGCTCTCGTCCATCTTGTTCAGTCGTTGATTTGAAGCCAAAACTCGCAGGTCATATTCGAGATTGTGCATACTACGGTGTCGCTGACCGATCTCCCTTTCCCCTCTTCCCTTTTCCTTTCCCTTCTTTTCCGTTCCTTTCGGCGCACCCTCTTTTCCCGGCGGTCTGTCTCGCTCGCTCACTCGGATACTACTATATTTATACCAGCCCTTCCGCCCTTTTGTCCCCGTTGACGTCCTTTCCCCGACAGGGCGACTCAATCAAGTTACCTATCCTCTAATTAAACTTGTCTAGCCACCTGGCATTAATGTCTCGATCGGCGTAAATTTCGCTCTTTTTTCGCCACAACCGTCACCCCATTCCCTCTTGTCTTGATTGACTGCTTGTTTACTCCGTCGTTCTATGATGGAGCAAGCTTATCTTGCCTCCCCGGACAAGGCACTGGGTCATTTTGGCGTTGCGGAGCACTCCGGACTGTCGCAAGCCCAGGTTGCTTCGTCTAAAAAGACCTATGGCCCAAATGGTTCGTGATAGCCCCATCTCAGACCTCAATAGCGGTTTGCGCTAACGTTTCCTTCTCCCTTTAGCCCTTGCCGAAGACCCCCCCACCCCTATGTGGGAGCTCATCCTCGAACAATTCAAAGACCAACTCGTCCTGATTCTGCTCGGCTCGGCTGCCGTGTCATTTGCGCTGGCCCTATTCGAGGAAGGTGATGACTGGACCGCTTTCGTTGACCCTGCTGTGGTATGTGACCTTGGAACGGGCGGAGCTCGGTGTATTGCGGTGTGTTGCTGACTGGATTTGCGCGATTATAGATTTTGACCATTTTGATCCTCAATGCCGTCGTCGGTGTGACCCAGGAGAGTAGCGCAGAAAAGGCAATTGCCGCTCTCCAGGAGTATTCCGC